ATGTGAGGGGACATGTAGTTTTAAAGAAGGTCTTAGTTTTCTAAGCATGGCTAGAAAAGCTTGTACCTTTGAAAATAAGTTTCCTAAACTGTAAAATGAGCATAATATTCATTCTACTTCAAGAGTAAATTACATATAATATATATTCAATATGTATTCACTATATACTGTAAATTCACACACACACACACACACACACACACACACACGCTTTTTGTAAAATGTAATACAATATAATTAAATTACCTCCCTTAATTGTGAGTCCTTTTTATATGAACTAGACCAGTAGTCGGCAAATTGCGGCTCACCAGCCACATGCAGCTCTTTGGCCCCTTGAGTGTGGCTCTTCCACAAAATACCATGTGTGGGCGTGCACGTACAGTGTGAATGAAACTTTGGGGCCCATGCGCAGAAGTTGGTTTTTGGCTCAAAAGAAATTTCAATCGTTGTACTGCTGATATTTGGCTCTGTTGACTAATGAGTTTGCAGACCACTGAACTAGACAGACCAAGGAAAATGGCACATGACAAACTCCAGCTGTAAGTCATGAAAACCTGATTCATTTCCAGGGTCTATATTTTAAATTGGACATATAAATAATGAAATTCCCTATGTGTCACAATTCTTTTAAACTAAGCAGGCAAATATGGGAGGGAATTACAAAAACAGATTTGGGAACCATTGCACTGAAATGTTTACTATAAGAGGAGCAGGAAATTAAGATTCAGAAGCAATCTCTGAAGGGCAATCCTTACCCACTCAATCCCATGCGTGGGGGACAATTTGCAACTTCTTAAATGTATAATAAGCACTTTGCACCATAAAGTCTAAGGCCTGTAGCAAGATTATGAAATATATGCCCCATCTGGGGGGCCTCTACCTACAGTTCTCAGTAAGTCCACTTAGATGGCACCAATTATTGAATATTCTCCAGGCAAACTAAGCATACTAGATAATACATCATATTGGAACAAAAGATAATTTCGCTAAGTATATATTTTATATTCTAAACTGTACTTAATCCTGCCTAAAGGTTAAGCCTGATAATTTAAATGATTTGGTAAACAATTTAATAATAAGCTATTTACCGAAATAGTTGATAATATATAAAAATTTATTAAAGTGCTCAGTATTTTGCAACTTTTTCCAATCATTTTCCAATATTTAGTTTAATTTATATTTGTAAAGTTTCTGCTAAGCTAGGAAAGTTTGAAATTGATTAGGTTCATTAAGCTGATATTATTTTTCCAACTTCCACAGTGACAATTTTAAAGGCATTTTGCTTACACCCTGTGTTGTGAAGGTATCATGTTGTGTTCTATGAAACATATACAAATCTATAAGACAGTCTGAACTCAATAAAATTATCAGTCTTATCACTGATGCAGAAACAATGAAAGCTCTGAATACAGGGAACAGCACCTAGATTGTACAACTAACATTTTACTATATAGTACCGTATTTTTCGGATCATAAGACGCTCCGGACCATAAAACGCACCAGTTTTTAGAGAAGGGAAATGAAGAAAAAAAGATTCTGAAACAAATAGTGTCCTAAAATATTTTTTGTGCATTAAAACCCAACATCACAGTCATAAACACATGTAATCAACCCTGTAAAGTAAACAGCAGCATTTAGAACCATTTTAGAGCCAGGCAAGCTCACAGAGACCACACAGAGCTGGGCAAGTAAAAAAACTTTTTTTTTAAAGTATATGTGTAGGCTATATTTGGACCATAAGACGCAGGGACTTTTCCCCCCCACTTCTGGGGGGGAAAAAGTGCGTCTTATGGTCCGAAAAATACGGTATTTCCTCATAGTACTATATTTGCTTTATCTATATTTTATTTTTTATGTACATAACTATTCACCTGTCCATTCATCCATCAATCCATCTTACATTTTTAATGAATTTCAAAGAAAGTTGCAGGCATAAGTATGTTTCACCCCTAAATACTTTAGCATATCTACTATTAACTAGCGCTTAAATTAATGGTTCTTAGCTAAAATTTACAAATATGAAATGCACAAATATTAAGTGTATCATTTGCAGATTTGTACAAATGTGTATGCCTCTGTAACCAAACTCCTATCAAGGCATAGAACATTATTGTCATCAAAAAATTTCCCTTAGACCCATTCCCAGTCAATCCTCATCGCAACTACTGTGATTTTTTTGTTGCTAATCAAAAATTAGTTTTGCAGATAATTTTTAAATTCAAAATTTAAAACAAAGAGTGACCAATAGGCTGAGGAATGGATGGATATATAGATATATCATAAAGTAAATATGGTAAAATGCTTAACAACTGTAGAAATTAGGTGTTGGGCATATGGGTGTGCCAATTACCAGCTGGTTATCTCTCAGCTCTAAATCTACCTTTCCTTGCCCTGCTTTGTAACTCTGGAATGAGACTCTAACCATTTCTCCTTCACCACCTTAAGAGAAGGCAATGGAGTAACCCTGTAAGGTGGCAGCAGCAGACACTTCCCTTCCAGATTCTGGTCCTCCATCACTATTATTATTATTATTATTATTCAACATGAAAGCCCAAGGGCTTTGGGAGGAGATAGGTTTCATCTGTGGCCTCAGGTCCCGGTCTTCCCTGACAGTGGTCATTTCCACAGACCAGATAGCCGTGGTAGACATGCCCTTCCCAAATTTTAGGAAGAAGAGCACTCTCCCATGGGATCTTTTATTTTTTTTAAATATATTTTTATTGATTTTTCACAGAGAGGAAGAGAGAGGGATAGAGAGTTAGAAACATCGATGAGAGAGAATCATCAATCAGCTGCCTCTTGCACACCCCTACTGGGGATGTGCCCGCAACCAACGTACATGCCCTTGACCAGAATCGAACCCGGGACCTTTCAGTCCGCAGGCCGACGCTCTATCCACTGAGCCAAACCGGTTTCGGCTCTCCCATGGAATCTTGCTTCCACATCCTAAAAGGAGAAACTACTCTTTGCACCTGCTACTGCTTGGACCCTTAGGCTGAGAGCTCTTTTTACTCCACTGAATAGTTAACCACTCCTTCTCTTGCTCTACTTAACCACTCAATTCATCATATTCAATTTTCAAACAACCCGTATAGTTCTGTCTCTTAACTGAACTCAAGACTACAGTAAAGGGTATTCACTGTACCGTGGATGTTACACGCATTCAAATATACAGACACCCCAACTGAATTTCTCTCTCTCCTAACCCCCGTTATCGACAGAGTCTAAACCTGTCGGCTATTTCAAACCTCTACATATAGCACATGCTTTTCCAGGGACAAGGGTATTCCTAAACAGTAGACAAGTGATGCTCAGTGTCACCCAGGGGACGGCTCTTCTTTCCCAACCCCTCCTGAAGACTTGGGCTTGCTCAAAATCCAAGATGATGTAAAGTTTGTAAACATTCTTTCAAGCTGACACGCCGAGACTGCTCACGTGTGTTCTTCCACGATGAAGAGTTAATGGTAAAGACAAGAATTGGGTTTCTTTCCTGCCTTTGACAGGACCCTTCCTGTGTAGGCAGTCGGTACCAGAAACAGCTATGCACTGCACAGGGAACACACGGCGCCAAAAGAAATGCTCCAACACCAGTATGTTTGCTGCAGCTGCTCCTGCTCTGCTCGATGCCTCGTGGCCACTAACTTCTAGCAGCTGCGCAACAGAACTTTCTGTGATGATGGAAATACTCCCCTTTCCGTCACGTGGGTTACTGAGCACTTGAAATGTAGCTTGTGTGACTCATGAGTTGGATTTTTAATTTTATTCCGTTTTAGTTCATTTACATTTTAAAAACCACTTCCACAGCCTTGGACAACACAGTTCTAGAGCCTTTTTTTTTTTTTTTTTTTTTTTTTAAGAAAAACCAGAAACTTAAAGAATATACTGTTTGCTTGTTGGGAGTTTTCTGACATAGAAGTGGTGTTTGAAACCACAACCATGCAATTCATGCAACACAGATCACTTACGTGTTCACAAAAGAATACAGGCACCTCGGTGTTAGGAGGTCAGCAGTAAAAAGAACTTGCAAGGAACACGGGGAGGGAGCAAGCGGTAACGCAAGAGGAAAACCAGAAAAACGTGGCTGAAAGCAATTCAAGGAGAAGTCATTCGGCCATAAATGCTATTGATAGATCAAGTTGAAAAGTTAAGATATTATTTTTCTTCCCCACAATAGCAAACCCCTCCAAAATTGAAGAACAAAAACAAAAAACAAAACAAACAAAAAAAAAAACTGAAAGATACCACTTGGAGTTCACTAACCAATGATAAAGGAAAACCACAAGTTATACTACCGTTATCTAGTGTAGCTATTTCATTCATATTCATTACATAGATGCTATTCCAGAACAATACAGCTTCCTTTTTTAAGTCCACAGAAAACAGGGTTTCAGAGGGCACGACAATTCTCTTGGGCAGTGTTAATTATAAATGAAAACCTCTTAAGTTGTTTGACCAGCTGAGACCGCCTCGAACAATCAGTGTCTCCCATTCCACTGCCACGCTTTGTATACTTAACTAGTGCTCTAAGCTTAGTAATTAAGCTTAGAGCACTAGTTAAGTACACAATTTTACCTATATGTTCCCAAAAATTCTAGTTTAGCACTTCTTAGTTGGGATTCAAGAATCTGTAGTTTGGCAACTCCACCAGGTGATTCTCATCATGAGAGAAGTTTGGGAAACACTGCTAAGGTAAAGATGATTTGAAGAACACACAGCTTCAAAAAAGAAAAGAAAAGAAAAGAATGGAGACAACTGTCAACATTCACAAAAGACAGGGAAAGAGTGAGATCCGTGGACCGTGAGCTCCAGGACCAGGATTTGCCATTGAACTTGAGAAGAGTCGCATCTCACCGCGCGGAGGGGACCCTGCAGAGCGCGGAGCGGAGCAGGACCAGCGAGCTCGCGGCACCCGCCCGGGGCATCCCCACTCGGGGCGCGCAACTGCAAAACCCGACCCTGAAGTTTAAAGGAAAACCCCCCGTCCTCCGGCCCGGGCTCACCTGCCTCCGGAGTGGGGGAGACGCGCGGCTCCGGAGCCTCCGGCGGGGCGCCCCGCAGACCCCTCACTTCGCCGCCGGACACTCGCTGGGGTGCGGGGTCCCCGGGAGGGGGGCGCGGGAGGGCGCGGCGCGCTGGCTCGGGGCAGAGTCTCCTCGGAGCAGCTGCAGCCACGGATTCCTCAGGTCCCCCCAGCGGCCCGAGAACGCGCTGACTCCCCCGCCTCGTCGCTTAGCAACGCTAGAAGCCGTCCAGGCTTCCCGACACGTCAATGCCTCTCACTCCTCCAGCGGGCGAACAGTTTAAAAAAAAAAAAAAAAAAGATTTTGTTTCCGGGTCGAGGTGGGGGTGCTGTACACCGCGGAAGGTCTTTTTACCTCCCACATTTCCCCTTGGGGTTGGATAACATCTCGGTGGCGCACGTGTGGAGAGGGTAGCCCTGGCGGTCAGACGCCACTCCATCCATTTACACACGCCGCCCCGCCCACCGTCTGCCGCCCAAACCATCCGCCGATCGCCGATCGCCAATCACCGCGGCCGGCCCCGGGGGACTACTTTTCAACCTGCTGGAAGCGCGGAGGGGAGAGCGTGAGAAGTCCCTGGGGCCTCTGGGAAGTGTAGTTCGACACCTGAGGACATGTCGTTGGAGATGGCGCCGGCATCGGGGCAGCCTGAACTACAGTTCCCAGAGGGCGCCGCGGTCGGGAGCGGAGCCTTTTCTCTCGTCTCTCTTTCACGGCGCTCGCTCTATCCCTGTTCGGCCGCGCCGTAGAGGTGACCTGACTCCCCACGTCTCATTGTGCGGGGGCTGAGATCGTGCAGGCGCTGAAATTGTCCGTGCAGTCTCCAATCATGGTGAGTGTGGGCCCCTGGATTTTGCTTTCGTTCCCTTATGCGGGGGGATTCTTGCGCTTGAAGGACTTTTGGGGGATGGCTGTGCAAAGCACTGTCCTTCGCGCCCTTTGGAAAACCCCGACTCATGTTCTGGGCGCTGTCGCAGTGACCCAGGCATTGGGAAGGGGTGGATTTCCAGCCGGGGCGGGGGCGGCGGGGGTCTTGGAAAGGACACCAGAGAAATCGCTGCCCTTGGGAAGCTTGCGATCTCAGTCCTGCTGCATGGCGGGGGTGCAGAAACATGAAGCTGTGGATGGATTGTTTCCAAGCAAGAAATGGGGTTTCATACTGGGAGGGGGTGGGAAGGGCTTCCTAACCTTTTTTTTTTTTTTTTTTCTTCTACTCATGCCCACAGTGTTTTTAAGGGCATTTGTCACCAAGCCCTTGAAAGCCGAAGGCCCTCGACTGTAAAGATAGCGTTTACCTAGTGCTCCAGATTATGGTCTATAAAACGGGAGACGAGTTTCAGCCATTTCTAATTTAATGCCATTTAAAACCTGCTCAATTATCCTTTGTAATACTGGGACGTGCTGCCGTGACAGCATCAGTAGCCAAATAACTGGCTGCAGATATGCTTTACTGATCTGCATGTTGGGAAATCTAGAGCTACTACTTTTAAATGTTACACAACTTAACCATCTTGTCATGAAGATCTTGTCTCTGCTGAAAGGAGAAGGGGGGGAATGGTGAGAGAACTCTGACGTAGTAATGATCTGCCCGACGTTTGAAGGTGACATTTGACATCACACTGAAAAATTGTTTCAGTGCTTGTATTTAGAGTTGAGGCTGTTTTTTCTCCGTTATCTCAAAATAATTGAAATTGGTGGGGAGTGTGGGAAAATATTTGAATGGATTGAAAATTTTCCAGAACATGAAAATGCTATTGATAGACCAAGTTGAAAAGCAGGGACAGCTACTAATTCTCAGTTAAACCTAGATTTCTTATTTCATCAAGTAACATAATAGTCATTTAAATAATGGTTCAGTGGTTCTGACCTAATCTTGGCAAGAAATCAGAGAACTTCAGGCTTTGTAATTTTAAAATTGATGGGGCCTTTAAAAGATCATTTTGACAAATCTCCCCACTTCGGGTCTTAAAATTGAGTTTATTGAACCCCAAAGAGAATGTGACTTGCTCAAGGTCACACAACAGTTTGCCTTCAAGGGTCTCACACTCTTTCCACTTTACCATATTGTGTCATACAGATATTTATCAAGTCATTCTGAAACTTGTTTTTAGTAGCTGAGGGTCTAGAATCAGGGGTCTTCAAACTACGGCCCGCGGGCCACATGCGGCCCGCAGAGGAGTCTGATCTGGCCCGCCAGGTTTTTTGGGCAGTGAGCGCAGCCGAGGTGTTACAGTAGGAATTAGTAGTTCATATAGTCCGGCCCTCCAGCTCTCTGAGGGACCGTGATCTGGCCCCCACTTTAAAAAGTTTGAGGACCCCTGGAAGGTGCAAGCTCATGCTGCAAATATAAACTAAAGTATGTTATCAGCATTTATATTACCTGAGAGCTTTATTCCTTGCGATTCAGAATGTTGGAACTCTGGAAGGGAATTCGGAGGTTATTTCTCTAATCTTAAAATATAGCCTGGTGAGGTCAAATGACTTTCCCAAGGTCACCGAGAGATCCTGAGCCCCGTTCTTGTGTGGATTTGCTATGCAGTAGATCAAGCCAGCCTCACCCCTGGAAGGTCACTGAGCACCAGATAACACACAGACCTTGATGACCAGTCCTCCTATCCATTTGCCAAAATTGACAGCAAATTCTCACATGACTGGAAATCGCCTTTCCTTTGCAGGAGAGTGTATGAACAATCACTGAGCTAGAAAACAGCCATCTTCTGGAAGCTATTCAAAGCAAAAAATATTTTTTAAAGAGAGAATTTTTTGCTTGCGTTCCTCCGTTCCGAAAGGAGTGACAGTAAGAATAAACTCTATGAAGAAATCGGAATGATACTGTTTATCCTTTATGGTACGGAAATATCAATATATATAAATTAGAAAGCAAAAGAGGAATACATGGGTCTTTCCGTAGAATGACAGAAGGAACACTTAAATTCAAGCTTTACAACTGAGACTTGAACACGTGTAGACAGACAGAGCCTGCATCTGTAAGAAGGTCATTAGTGCCCTGCCAAGAGCAAAGACATTTCTTCTTTGGATCTTGGCAGACTGCCCAGATATCTAAGCAAAGAATAGTAACCTGCCTTCCAGCTGTAACCTTGTGAAAAGTCAGCAGGAATCTCCCACCCTCCTGCTTTCAATGGCAATGTTCCGAAGAGCAGAGAGAACCAAATGTGCAGTTTGTTCTTTTCCTTTTGATCATCAAACATTCAGACACTAACTAGGCTTCCTGCTGTTCTTAACAGGATGGAATTACCTACCTGTGAAATAATTTGCTCAGAGATACAGAAGAAGGGAACTGCTGAGTTAGAATTACTAGCTGTTCATTAGTTGGCCACAGAGCCTTCACTAAGGACTCTGATGCTGTGAACACATCTTTATAATAACTAAAATCAATACCTAAAATTGATTGCATCATTCTGTTATAACCATCTGCCAGACTTTCTGGGAGATTAAGCTTTACAGATAGTAATATTCACTTTCCCCTCATTTCTTATCCCAATTTGCTTTGCAATGAACTAGCATGTGTTTATAGTTTTCTTAATCCTTATTTTCATTCCGTCAAAAAATATTTGCTGAGCGCTTTATGGACTGCAAATTTGAGTCCCAGGTGGAATGCTGTCAGTTCACATTCTGAAATGGACTGGTGTGGGGGTGGGGCTGGTACACAGTCTAGTAGAAAATAACAGTCATGTAAATGGGAAACCACGGCTGTAAGAATCCTTAAAGGAAAATTCTGTGGTGACAGAAACCTATAATTTCAGTTCTTGCTACACACTGTTATTAATGCTTTGTATGTTAATTCTTAACCCTTACAACTACCTTATTTGTTAAGCAGCTGCTCTTACTATCTCTTACTAGGGAAACGGAATACAGAGAGGGTAAGTAACTTGCCAGAAACATAACGATACACCTAATGCACATGTGTCAAACACAAGGCCCGCGGGCCAAATCCATCCCGCCAGGCCTTGCAATGTGGCCCGCACCGCGCTGTCATCACTGCACTCCGCTGCGTTTCCATCACAATGACAGTTTATGACTGTTCAGTAAACCATTCGGCCCGCGATTTAGGCTGGATTTTAGATTTTGGCCCCTTCTCTGATTGAGTTCGACACCCCTAACCTAATGAGTTGTGGAGTCAGGATTTGCATCCAGAAGTCTGGTCTAAAGGCCATCTCTTTACTACAATCTACTGCCTCTAACCCTTTGGCCTAAAATAGTACCAGGTATATAATAGAGGTTCAGTGATGTATTGATTAATAAATGATGTGAGGAGAGTTCACCCATTGATTTATAAGACTATATATATCATTGGAACTAGTGACCTAAAATAATTTTGCTGACCCTACCAGGGACTATGGTGGTCACTAAGTTTCCAACTTTCTCAATGCTATATTCAAAGTATGTAGTAATAAATTTTCTTAAATACTTTTTTGAAGCATGTTAGGTTTGCTTCCAAACAATTATTTTATACTTCCAAGTTTTCGGTGATAATTTTACCAGATCCAGCTATTCCTTCAGTAATTGCATTCCAACTGTGTTCAAGGCATTGTTCTAGGTAGTTGGGATACAGCAATAAATAAAATAGACAAGGCCCCTGTCATTAAGGAGTTTGCATTCTAAAGAGGGAAGAGGAATAATTTCTATTCCCTTTTTCTCATCCACTCCAAGTGGAAAAGGGGAAATGACAAAATTAAAAACAGGTAAAGGCCATATTATAGAAAGTAACCATATACGATGTTCTTTATAAAACTAAAGTCTACTTGGGAACATAGATGTGTATTTGTATTAAAATTTGTTTATTTGGGGAATTATCGTATTCTATATTTAGAGAGATGGATGGAGAAGAGACACAGGAGGTCAGGGAGAAACCTCCATAGTTTTCTCCTTTTTTTCCATTCCCATCCTGGTCTCATGTTTGAGGAAGAAATTGCACTCACAGTCTGCTATGATCAGATTCATTTCTCTGCAACTGGGCACATATTTCCTGACCTTCAGAGGTTAGGGTTGGAAAGTTAGAAAGATTCTTCAAGGTGGTAGTCTCCTTCCATCCAAGAGGCATGTCTTCTCTGGAAGAGGGAATTCTATTATAAATATATATTTAAAAAAAGAAGAAGAAGAAGGAAAAAAATCAAATACTTCTAACCCAGTCAGTTCAGTAGGCCACTTCTCTCATACAATTAGCAATAGAGGCGTCACAGTAGACGTCCATATACCTGGCATTGTCAAAAGAATAGTCCACTTAATTAAACTTTCCACCTACTTAAACTTACCTATTGTTCCCAAACATGTTTGTTTAGCTCTTTTTAGTAGAACTAGTTCTCTTTTTAATTCTCTGAGCTTAACTTATTTTCATGATTTGGGATCATCACTTTGAATATTAGTTGTTTTTCACACATGTCCCTGTCTGGGGTCTGTTGAGATCTATAAAGCAACTTCTCTCTGTTGTAGCTGGTGTGCTCTTTGTACTTTTCTCCCTTCCTCCCTTTTAAAATTCATTTCCCTTTGGAATCAGGTTGTCAACTGTCACTACATGTCGTTGTTATAATTCAGATATTATTTTCTCAAAAAGT